TTCTAGAGAGATGCACTAGTGACGTTATGGGTCTCAATCCTTTATTTCTCATAATCACAACCTCGATTGAATTCTTCTTCTATTTTTAGTATATGAACCATTTTTTAATTGCTTGCAATCATCACTTCCAACCACATAACATAAATACTTGTAACTAGCAAGGCTAGTGAAGTTGACACCCTCACTAGAGGTGTTGGGGTAAGTGAAGATTTTCAGTTGTGTGCAGGTACTAACCGTTAACTGCAAACCACGACTCCACGGATTGATACCATGGCTCTTAGCTGCATACTATAAACCCTTGCACTTCAGGGCCCAACAACTATGTCCACTAATAGCTAAGGATACCGGTATTAATGATGGACAGAAAATTGTTAAGGCATGCAAATAATATAACATATTAATTTGTTTATTGAATGTACATGAGAAAATCATACCTCGTGCATGACAACGGATGAGTCAATAGTTAGTGTCATTTATATCTCCTAAGCACAAAGCTAACCGTCTGTTTTTTGTGTGTGTAATGCAACTAAAATCGATCTACATGTTGAAGATACGACCAAGTTATTGAACATATAATGCGAGCTAAGTCCAAGTAATAGGTAAACAATACACTTTGCAAAGTCGAAGCAGTTTCCCACTACGAGGAAGTTGAAGCTGGAGCAATTTTCCAGTTATGAGGAAGTCGAGGTTGAAGCTCGAAATAGGCTTTCACCCTACTTTATATAAATCAATCACGAAATAGTAAACGGCCTAATGATACAAGATGGTGAGGTAGGCCTCATACAATGCTGATCCAAGGATAACCGGAACACATAGAATGCAAGCGACTATGCCACCGAGAAAGAAAATAGGGAGAACTGAGCACAACACCACACTACGCCCTAAACACCTAAGCTCCACGACAACGGTCCCAGAAGGGAAAACGGCGCAAAGCATCGCCTCTGTCGAGTCCAAAAGGGACAAGGGTCTTCACCCGGAACACTGACACGGAGAGGGGCACCATGACGACGTCTTCAGGAAGAGAGCGGCTCACGCGAGTGTCGCCATCGTCGGTGACAAAGTGTGGAGCTTTCGCTTGGCAGCTCCCCAGTGCCACCACGAGGTCTTCAGCACCAGCGCAACAAGTTTAGCTCCCCAAATCCGGATCGGGGCGACGCCACTGTCAATGACAGAGAACACGCCCGGGCCACCCTCTGCTCCACCTCCCACCGCCCACATGACCAAGAGGGAAAGCCGCCACCACCCACATGGTGCCCGCTGGAGAGCCAACCATGCAGACCGCCATCCAGAGCCGCCGCTCCGGCGTCCGAGTCCGAGCCACTGCCATCCGTCCACATCACAGAGCACCAACCACGGAAGGAGGAGCAAAAGGTGCATCCTTTCGCTCCTAGCCCGACATTAGTTACAGAATCTGGGTTGATGCCCCCATGATAGGGGTGTCCACACCTACATCCCCAGCCAGTCCTGGTGGACCGGGGGGAGAGGGATGCAACCCCGTGACTACCGACGGCCGCCATCGAGCCCGCTCGTGCGACGCCTCGACGTGGTCACCGGCTCCGACCTATCCGACAAAATAGCAGGCCTGACCACCAACATTAACCACCGCGTCCACGAGGGGAGACCTCATCGCCCGCGGACACCACCTGGATCGAGCCCTCCATCACCTACCCGGAGCGAGAGCTCCGACCTACCTCGTCCCTATGCTGATTCGGCCGAGCACGAGCCCCAGTTCTTGGCCATCTCTGCGGTGCAAAATCGCGTTGCTGGCCCGGATCTAGGAGAAGAGATGGGCTACCACCACCCGCACCCCACTGCCGAGCACCAACCACCGCCGCCAAGTCGCAGTGGCCGCCTCACCGGCTAGTGCACCCATGCCCCTGGCCGCCCGCAGAGCCACCCGAACCTGTCGGACCAAGCCACCACGAGCCGGCCCAATGGAGCCACCACCACGTCGAAACGGAGCAGCCGCCAATCCGCGCCGCCCACGGCCCTCCCCACGAGGGCCAGCAGTCGTGCAGATCTGGCTGAAGCAGCCCCGCCACCACAGCCGGATCTGGCTTGCCTGCTCCCTTCCCATGCTCCCATCCGTGCTCCCACTCCATCCTACGGCTGTCTTTTCCTCTTTTTTCTTTCTAATCTAATCATCTCCCCCCTGATTTTAAGGGGATGGGGTCGGGCCTTATTTTGTTTCAATCAAATCATGCCACGTATGTGGGAGCACGGATGGGCGCACGCTGGAGGAACAGGCAAGTCTCGTCCACCACAGCCACCCCCGCACGTGGGTCTGGTCCCTATCGCAATTGAGGTTGAAGCAGTTTGCATTTTAACAAAGAAGAGAAGTTACTCATTGAGCTCGCACAAGTTCTATATAATTTGACAGAAGATATCACTATGTACTCCCTCCGTCCCAAAATTCTTGTCTATCTAGACAAATTTAAGACAAGAATTTTAGGACGGAGGGAGTATGGAATTAATATTCTTGTGTTCTTATTCTGTTCATCATATAGTTCTTCAATATTCAGAAATATTTGGTTATAGTAGACATTTGTTTTCCTTACCCCTTTGGACATCACTATGATATAGTATGCTCCGGTGAAAGGCACGAGCAACTTACTACGTACTCCCTCCATTTCAAAATAGATGACTCAACTTTGTACTAACTTTAGTACAAAGTTAATACAAAGTTGGATATCTATTTTAGAACGGAGGGGTAGTTGACAATTAAAACTACAACCATACAAAGGGCGATGAAATTAGGCAGCACGTTGATAGCAACATAATCATGGCACATGATTCGTCATGGTTCTCGATTTTACATGCAAACATACGGTCAAGCTTTGGTTCACGCAGTCAAGATAGTCTGGCTTCGTATATAGGGCACAACTATATAAAACTTGTTGTATTTAGCTGTAGGCGGAGAAGCAAATTTCATGAAAATCACACGTGAAAGTTTTCGGAAAAGATCCAAAACAGTTTGAACTACAGGTAGGCAAGATCTACAGCCATGCAAAAACCATCGAGAACAAACCAAACCCCATCTGTAACATACGAAGTATGACCAGTATGGTTTTTAGAAATTGAACTTATCTGGTGAAAACAGTCCTTGAAGAACGATAGGAAAAATAGTTACTTTCTCAGCAATCAGTTGTACAAATTCAACACTTGAGTACAGTCATGGTACTGAAATCAAGATAACGTAACATCCCATGTTAACTTTTCTCTTATTTGTGAAGATTTAACGCAAGAAAACTTGGCTAGCCTGACAGTTTTTAGCTTTACGCAACTCCTGCCTTGGCTAGCTCCTCCAACTTCTTGTCGATCTGGGCTTCTGTCAAGCCGTCCAAGCGCACGCACCTCTCCACGCCCATATCTGACCAGTAGACACACAGTTATACAACATACCTTATACATTAGCTTCAATTCATTAATCCAATACTGTATGCATGAAACAAAAGAAAGGGTGTATTTGGCAATCAATATTCAGTTATTTGTTGATCATAACATGCCTAGCCCTGTGTTTGCAAAACTACAATAGTTTATCACCTTTTCTCAGTTAGTAACTTAGTATGGGTAGTCCGCTTCCTTCAGTACATGATCTATCTCTATATTGACAGTGCAACACACAAGTGCCGAAACTGAGTAAACGATTTCATAGCCTTCTCTTCATTTATCATTTAGTTCTTGTAATTAACATGTATCCATTTTGAGCATTGTGTACAGAATTTCAAAGCCCAATACATGATCTTAATCTGTGCTTCCTTTCTTTGATAGCTCGAAGCCTGTAGGCATCAACATTCCAGACACACCTTTAACATCAGTAGCATGCCTGCCTAACAGTACTATGTAACTTTTGTAACAGGTTATAAGTTGAGAAGAAAGACAGCTGAGCCTGAGCCCAGGATAAACTACATCAAATAATTACTGGATTCGTTAGAATGAGCTCCAAATCCCAAACCCAGCCGATCGACCTAGATCAGGAGTCGAGATAGCTGCAGACAGGCCGGAGTTTGCGCACCGAGTCGTAGATCTCAAGCGAAACAAAAAATGATAGCACACGCGGCAGCTAACACCAAAAATCAAAATATGTGGCTCCCAAGGGTAACTTACAAATTGAAATGGGCCAATAGATTTTCCAAAAAGAATCTGTTTTCTTCACAATGTCGCTTATCAAGACTTCATTGGCATAGATTTATTGGAGTATATGTTTTGCGGGTCTATGAGATAAAACCCGTTTGACATATTAAGGCCCTACTTCTATAAGCATAATACAGTCATACATATTTCTTTGGATACTTGCATGATAATAACATAGAAGAGTTATGACAAGCAGAACAATAGTAGTCAAAGGCTACAAGAAAATGCTTATTAAGGATATCCTACCTTATATTAGAAAATTTGGCATCAGACCAAACTCTTTCCTGGTTTGTTTCCTACAACAACTTTTCTAGAGGGGCACGAAGCAATTTCATCAAGCTGTTGCATTCAACCACACACAAGTATTCCCAACTTCTGTTTATACGAGAAGACGACTTAAACAATCATGTTGTTTTTTGTTACTGGTGGAGAAGGAAGCTATCCCTTACATAAGCCAGGCTTTTGACTTACACTAGCTAATTGCCTGGCGTTGGAACGGGCATACACATTCTAATGTTTAACATCAATCATGTCTACATATACCTTTAGAATACTCATGTACATTATGCGGTATTATTCATTTGATTTACTGTTAAATAATTTTTGCTCCTCCACCAACCCCTATCTCTTTATCTAAAAAACAGAAACCTGATTAACCTTTAAAAAACAAACCCAGTGTATAGAGGGAATAGAGAGGAGGATGGACGTGCGTGCGTGGGTTGTAGCAGGCTTTCCCCTGATTTTTCTTGGCTTTATAAGCATGGAATGGAGGCAGATGAAGGTTGAGCGAAATGGGAACGCCATGTCTTTTTTAGGTAGTGTAGATGTAGATAATCCCAATTTTCTGACCAAAGAGCTTATTGCAGTTATCCACGTTTATCTGCAGTTTTGGTTCTATCATCTTGTCTGACAAGCTCAAACTTGGTCAAATTTCCAAAGTTATCAAGCATTCCAGATTTTTGGCAATCATAGACTGACCTTCATTTAGTCAATGTGGTAATATGTGTTTATGCCATGTTTTCGATGTATTAACTTCACTGTACTTATGTAACTGCTTCAATTGTATATACATTTGATACTAAATCATCTTAATGTGCTACAGTGTACCTATAGCAAAGAATGACAGAGCAACGGAAAAACAAACAAAATAGATGCACTATGCTGCATGATACAAGTGGTGAGGGCAGCATTTGGGCAACATCAAAATTCTTTTCCACCGATACATAAGGATGAAAATTCCTCCCATCTCACATCCTCAGCCTTTTTAAGTGGGGGTATACCGAAGCAAAACTCTACTTCTGATACTAAATCATCTTAATGCGCTATATAGTTAACCTATAGCAAAGAATGACAGAGCACGGGAAAACCAAACAAAATGGATGCACTATGCTGTGTGATACAAGCGGTGAGGGCAGCATTTGGGCACATCAAAATTCTTTTCCACCCACACATAAAGATGAACATTCCTCCCATGTCACGCGCTCAAAATTTCGAGATGAACAATGGAAATCTCTGTGGAACCGTACAACCTCACATGGATATCTGGACAGGTCCCAAGTCCCCACTTGCCATGTCCCCCAAGATAACAAGATCCGGTAGTTCCAACAGAAACATTTCACACTTGCAAGATGCGAGGGTTCCGAAGATCAATAGACCGGAACAGACCCTCCCGGGAACCATGGCAAGAGCAAGATCTCGGGTTCCCGGGAAAGATGGGATCGAGGGCTGCTTACCGTAGCGCGCCCAGAGCTGAGGCTGGACGCCGGAGCACTCGCGGATGAGGACGGGGAGGGTGGGGTTGCGGGTCTTGATGTCACCGTAGTTCTTCTTCACGAACTCCCTGCGAATCAGATCAGAAATCCAACACCACGACATAAGCGAGCGACGAACCGATTGTAGAGAGAGAGAAATGGGGGAAGAGAAGCGGGTGCGTGGGTGCTACCGGGCGGGGCCGCTGGCAGGGGAAGACTGGCAGAAGAGGAAGCGGATCTCCTTCACGTTCCGGGATAGGCTCGCCCGCCACGCCATCGCCGCCGGCTCGTTCCTTGGATTCTCTTCTCTTCTCCTCTCTTCTCGGACCCCTTCTCTTCTCTCCCTGGGTTGTATCTTCCTCTGCTGGGGAACGAACGAACTGCCCAGCTGCGGCTGTCTCGTTGGATTCACATTCACGCCGTCCGATCCGGAAAACGGTGTATGGCCGTCAGATTAGGGTTCCGTCTCCACAAAAGTATATTTCCCCGGGAAAAAGAAAAAGGGCGTTAACTTTGGGCCGGTCCCGCGTGGGTCATTGGATCTGTCTAACACGAAGCGCGGAACCGCTCGATCATGCACGTATCAAACGGGCTCAATGTAGGCTCGGTCGTCGTCTTCCTCATCTGCCGCACATCGTTGACTCTGGCCGCCGTCGCCATCTACCACACCCCGCGTTCCTCGTGGCTCGCCGCATCGGTGGCTCGCCATGGCTGCCGCTCACCGTCTTCGCTGCAGTAAAAAAGGTACCAACTGCATCAAAAAAAAGGCGGCAATGGCGGCCGCCAGGTCCAACAATGGCGGGGCCGCCAGTTTCAGCATCTGTCGCAGCACCATTGGTGCATAGAAACAGTCATGTGCATCAACGGCTCGCCGCTGCAGCTTTTTCGTCGTCGGTCTCTGGTTGAACCTTTTGAAATATATGGTTGAAGCTTTTGTGTTAACGATTGTAGCTTTCTGCGTTTCCTATCGCCGGTTGAAGCTTTCTATATCGTCGGTCGAAGCTTTTTTTCTAGCCGGTTGAAGCTTTTTTCGTCGCCGGTTGCAACTTTTCTGATTTCCAGTCACCGGTCACCGCCGTGAATGGTGGTAACAGTTACTGCCTATGGTAGTAGCAAACATTTTGTGTGGTTGCAGCAAAACGTTGTCGTGGCTGTCAAGGGTTGCATCTTCTTCATGGATGACGGTAGTAGCAAAAATTTGCTCGGTTGCAGCAAAAAAATGTCTTTGTCGTCTGGGTACCATCGCCTTTTCAAATGAATGTAACAAAAATCGCAGTTGGTAGTAGCAATTTATGTCGCTGGTAGTAGCAGAAACACTACGCGGTTGCAACAAAAAAGCGTTGTCACTGTCATCTGGGGCGCATCATAGGCGCATAATGGTTGTAACAAATTCCACCGCTGGTCGCAGCTCCTCCGTCGTCTGGTTCCAGCAACTTGCGCCAACAGTTGCAACATCACCTGTCGCGCGGTCGTAGCAATCCGCCGTCGAGGTCGCGCAGTCGCCATGCGCCGCCGTCGCAACTCCTCGCCGCGCCCGTGCCTCCGTCCTCGTTGTCTTTTGTAGAGAAACGCGGATGGGGTAGGCGCCCGTGCGAAG